GAAGTGTTGCTGCGCGAACTGCGGGGAACTCACGTTTGAACTCTCTCGCGAGCGCTACAACTACCGCGAGGCTTTGTTTCTTCAGAGACGGCATAGATAGAAAGAGAGATGCGGAGAAAGGTAAAAATGGCCCGGGTTACGCAAGTCTTTGCAAGTCAATTGGCGCAAGTCCAAGTGAAAGTCAGAGTCATTGATGTTAAAGTCCAAGTCGAGTTGCAAGTCTTTTTACATTTGGTCAAGTCGAGTCTAAAGTCATCAAAATCATGACTCGAGTCTGACTCGAGTCCAAGTCACATGACTCGAGTCCACACCTCTGGTTGTATGTATATGTCTATGGGACACATCTGGTTCTATATTTCACATTCTGGCATTATTTTAAATTATATGTTAAAACAATTGGACGTATTGGAGTTTTATAGGTGTAGATGTAAATGTGGAGGGCTTGCAGAATGGAGTGGGTGCAGGAATAAGGCATAAAGCTTACATCATGCTTTTCTTGGCAGTCGTAGAGGCTCCTCATGGCATAGAACTGGGAGGGAGCCAAAGAGTACACTGACACACCAAGTACACCGCGTAAAGACAACAGAAAAGATCTAGTTTTCTCTTAAAAAGCGCAAGAAGCAATGTTGATTGAATCGTTCATGTTTGTGCAGAGTTAACGAGCCATCTGTATCTATACTGAGACAAGAGAGGTCTGTATGTATACTGAGACAAGAGAGGTCTGCATGTATACTGAGACAAGAGAGGTCTGCATGTATACTGAGACAAGAGAGGTCTGCATGTATACTGAGACAATAGAGGTCTGCATGTATACTGAGACAAGAGAGGTCTGCATGTATACTGAGACAAGAGAGGTCTGCATGTATACTGAGACAAGAGAGGTCTGCATGTATACTGAGACAAGAGAGGTCTGTATGTATACTGAGACAAGAGAGGTCTGTATGTATACTGAGACAAGAGAGGTCTGCATGTATACTGAGACAATAGAGGTCTGCATGTATACTGAGACAAGAGAGGTCTGTATGTATACTGAGACAAGAGTGGCTTAAGAGGTTTTGCGAAAAGCCAAATTCAATCCAGCTACACTTACGCTCAGCTCTTGTGAGAATCTATAGTGACCTATGTGTTTTGAGTCGTACATAAAAGTCCAGAGAACATATACACAAACTCCCCCTTCCCCTTGACTTTCAGTAATGAATCTTGACCTTTCCTGCAAAATGACCACTCCACAATCGCTAACATTGATGTAGCGGTGCCATTCTCGTCGACCCTAACCCTCACCGGGAGAAGGCTGCAATTTGTCTCACGTTAGACACTCGATAATTATTGTTATTATGAAGAATGCCCGAGTTATTGTTTGACACCTGCTTGTCCTTGTGTTTAAGGGTTGTCCACAATCCCAGCAGGACCAAAGCTAGCATTTGCCATCAGAAAACACATTTATAAGTACATTAGTTCTGGTTTTTACATCATCAAAACACAAAACATACCATATTCAGACTTCACAGTGCGCATTTTCTTTTCTTTTTCCCCTTCACCAAACATGCTGTGCTGATTCTAGTCAGTCTGTTAAGGTATTGACAGAGATGCAGAGGTTTTGACCGTCGTTTTTACAGCCATTGATCTGCCCTAGATTGCTCCTAAATCTTTCCGCATCTAGTAAAGTTGCGTTTATGTCGACCAGCTTCTAAAATAGATGGTCTGCTTGTTTACTGAGACAAGAGAGGTCTGAACCTACTAGTATAAAGGCCAGTGAGCTGAATATAGCCAGTCTATTATGGTATTGACAGAGATGCAGAGGTTTTGTCCACCTTTTTACAGCTTTTGCAGTAAAAATCTACTCTAGATTGCTCCTAAGCCTTTCTGCGTCTGGTTAAGGTTATAGAGAAGGATTTTCTACATCCGGGTAGGATCATCAAGACTATGGGTCCTCCTAATCATTCTGCTGATACAAGCTTGACCAAAAAGACCTGAGAGTTTTGTTCATAAAGTGGAGAGGGCAGTTCTTTCCTTTAAGTTGCGATGATTATCACCAACTTCTAGAACAGTCTTTCTGAGCAGGTTGAAAATAGTTGTTTCTCGCTGAGTGCATGATTTGAATGTATCTCGTTTTGTTATTGTAAACAAATTTAGTTAAACCGATAATCTCCCCGCCCCTTTTTCAGGTATCTTGGATTTAGAATAAAACATAAAAAGGTTGAGTAAATAATATTCATGAGTTAACATGCTAGATATTGTAAACCGGCCTCAAATTCAAATCAGATATGGCTCAATTAATTAAGTTAACTCTTCCTACCACCAGAGGCAGGACGTGGGAAGATGGACCATAAGCCGTGTAAAACAGCAACAAAAAATCCTATGGTCTTAAAAAAACAACTTGTAGACTTCAATAGAAGAAGTAAATGAACCTTGGACAATAAAATATGGCTCAAATTTGGCTACATTTATCTTAATTCTTTGAACTTTTCATATAAGATCTGCCAGTGGAACACATAATTAAGACAAACTCGGCTTCTTCCAGTGAGATTTCATATTGTAAGACCTTTAAAATGTCCTAAAGTCAACATAAAAAAACTGCTTAATTAATTTAGTTGGCCTTTGTTTACCGATAGACGTATAGCTTGTCCTGAAATCCTAGCTCTGTTGGGGTGAAAGGTGCTGTGCTACACGATTAAACATGCCATGGCTATTTGTTGGCCAATACTTAAAAACAAAGTGTATCATCTGAAACGTCACATCTAACCCAACACACTGGGGCTCATGTCTGGGTTCCCTTCTTCACTGCGCCTCAATGACTACGTCTTGCTATCGGCTTTGGATGTCTCATACTGGATCAGCCATGGGGGGGGGAAATGCTTTCACCCAATCTGTTCGCCGCAAATTTCCCATTGTTGCTAGCCGGCTAATCTCGCTGAGCGCTCCATATCTGGGGTCTATATCAATAGACGCTCACAGCTATCGAGCGCGGACTAGCAACGGAGCATCAAAAGTGGATTATGTCTTAAATAAGCCGTGGTTACAGTGGGATGGAAGTTTTCGCGCTGTCAGTCGGTCTGATGGTTATTCCCCTTTGGTGGAATTTGCGACAGCGTTTATAGCTGCAGTGTATTCAAAACGCTGCAGCTTGAGTTATCGGTAGAACTAGGAAGTACCATCACATTAGTCCTGGTCTCAGGTCTCCATCTGTGGCTCAGATTTTAAAGCTGCTCTGTTTGCTACATGTCTCTCCATGGCCTCTTACCAAAGTACATCTGTGACCATATCAACCAACTCTGAGGGACTGGCCTCCTACTGGGACTCTGAGGAGCACAGGGACTGGCCTCCTGCTGGTCCCAGAGGCAGGACTAAACATGGGGAGGCAGCATTTCAGATTCATGCAGCTAAAATCTGAAACAATCTTCTTGAAAATGTGAGACAGGCTTCTTCTGACAATGTTCAAATTTCTGTTTAGCTGCAACAACTGAAGGATCATATCTTCACTCTTTTTAATGCGCTAAGATTAGTTATCATTCTTATAGGATTTTACTGTTTTTAACGTAATAGTTAAGCAACAAAGCCGACTTTGTCACTGTATAATATTTCAAGGGGACTACTCGCTCGGGTTCCACAAAAAATGCAATTTAGGCCATTTTGCATATTCTACTGTAATGGGTATATTAATAGACCAAAGGGACTTGGTTAGGTCTATTTTTGATTAGTGTTGAAATATGAAGCTCGAGGCTCAAAAAAGACTAAGTTGTATTATCATCTAACTCTATCCTTTAGCAGCTGTTGCACTTGCGATAAATTCCCAAAACTCTGAATACTTGTGGTCTGTGATGTCACAACCCGAGCCTGTGTGCAATCCGTCTGTGCGTGTGAGAAAAACCATCGCCGGCTCCTCCATTGCGAACAGAAATTGTATTTAAAGTCTCCTAAATCCTTGTCAAAATTTTCCCCTGCGTGCCGGAGATTACGGTGAGCGAGCATTCTTCGGCGTTGGCTTAGGCCGCCGCGCTGCCTCCTCGCCAACCCCTGAGCCTGTCGTGCCATTATTACCTGCACAAAGGCGGCAAGAAAGACTCATGTCGTCTGAGTTAACCTGTAAATCAGCTCCTCAAGTTGGTGCAAAAATAGAAAAAAATGCTTCTATCAGTGAAAGGGATAGCTCTTCAGCGGCTTCGCTCACATTTTTACCATTTTTAAACACGTACAAAATTGTCGGGCTCCCACAATAATAGCCATATTCATTGGACAATAATTAATTTATTACTAATTTGATGTATTTTTATGTCTTAAGAACCAGGTCTGAAAATTAGCTGTTAGCTATATGACCTTTGAACAAGGCTTTGTAAAAAAACGTTCTGTCCCATAAGATTAACATACTGTATAATAATAGCTTTTCAGGACTTTCAAAGACGCTTCACATCCTTATCCTTTCACTCCAAACACAGTGGTAATAAACAACCAATGTAGCCACAGCTGCCTTGAGGCACACTGCCAGAAGCGAGGCAACCAGTCTGTGACATTGGCCCCTCCCACCACCACCAACTATTCGCACACACAACAGACTCATTCTAATGTGGGTGAAGTGTCTTGCCTAAGGACACAACCACAGTTTGACACTAAACAGCCGCCCCACTGTGGCACCTGATGTTCCCAGAGGTCTCCCATCACAGTTCTAACCAGGCCCTGCTCTGCTTAGCTTCAGAGGTCTGACTTTCACATGCAGGTATTATGCTCTCTAAAATTGTGCATGTTTTAGATAAATACAAACTTGAAATCAATGAAACAAATATTAAATTAAATGTATTCTTGTATCGCCCTAAATCACAACAGCAGCTATTTCGAAGGACTTTATAAAACTGCCGATTCGCCAACACAGATCAGAGAATCACCCACAAGAAATACAATGATAAAAACCACTCGGAGCCATTAGTCCATAAGGGGTAAATGACCAATATCCATAAATGTCTATAAAGCACTAAAACTCACAAGTTATTGAGAAAAAAGTGCAATTTCTATTCTGATTTCTCGACCCTCAGAGGTGACATCTTTCGTAGAGTCTCTCCGCAGCTGAGGATGGAGTGTCGTTCTGGGGGATAGAGAGGACCGAGCCCATCTGGCCCCTCACATCTGGGGCCACAGCCGGAGGGCCCGCTGGCAGCCGACTCATTGTACTGGGGAGATGGATGGACTGAGTTCAGGGGCCAGAGAGGGAGGAGGGGGAGATAAGTGCAGAGGATGAGAGATGGCGAGAACGTGCCAGAGGACCAGCCGGGGCACAGAGGCGGGTAAACGTGGGTCATTCGTCTCCACAGTGTGACGAGAAATGACGATGACGACCCTCGACGGACCATCGACGGACCATCAACGTGATTCATCTGAGGGTCTAAGGTCAGTGATAATCCAGGACATTTATGGACATTGGTTATCTGCCCCTTATGAGCATATGAGAGACCAGAGAGAGGGACCAGAGAGAGACCAAAGAGAGACCAAAGAGAGAGATAACAGAGAGGGACCAGAGAGAGCAACCATTAGTCAAACTTTATATATATAGACATAGGTTATATATACAGTAGGGTTTTTGTTGCAGGAGGGTCTATGGCTCTATGTGGTTTTAGCGAATCGACATTTGTACAGTCCTCCAAAATAACTACTGTTGTGCTTAATGACTTAAATACATATATTATTTGAATTGAAAGATTAAAGGTTTCTCAAAATACGTTTGAATGAATTTCCTTTTTCTGAAACATTATATAACAACTACATCGGAAGAAAACTATTCTCGGAGAGGCTCAGATCTCGTCAGATCTCTGAAGGGCAGGGCCTGGTTAGCACTGTGATTGAAGACCTGCAGGAACACTAGTGGGGTGGTACACACTTACAGTACTATAGAAAAATGTCATCCCAAATGCAACACGTCAAACACATGGTATTGTCATGATAAAAGACTTCATTGATAGTAGACACATCGCCTAGAAACTGGGTCTAAATATGCAATTCAAATCGACATCCATTCAAATCTCCGCTCCTCCCAAAAGCAGCTCGAGCTTTCTCTGCACTTTCAAATCACATCAGCTCTTTTATTCCCGTCTTCCTTCACATTTCTGCTTGGGTGTGCTGGCTGCCGTGCTTGCGTTGTTTACTCCACGCAGCTACATTTCTCTGTCGGGCTTTTGATTTCAAAGCCACAAAGTAATCCATGCTGCCCGCTGCGCTAAATCGTTGATGCCGTCTGACACCAAAGCCCCGGGACCCAGCCACCCGGATCCAGGCCTCTACAAAGGCAGGGGCACCCGAGGGGAACCGGCCCCAACGGTATACAGCTCTCCAAGACCACGTTCTGGGTCAAACGCAGAGGGAACAGAATGCAAAGAGAGGTATCTGTGCTGTGCCAAGAAATGAGTCCAAAAGCCTCTATAGTTCGGCATCAGACATCGGTTTCAAAGTCCCAACAATATGAGGAACTGTGACATTGGGGTGGCCATACCTGCAGGTGGGGGCCAGGTCCAGTCAGAGCTCTGAGGCTAAGCAGGGCACGGTTATGATGGGAGACCTCTGTGAACACCAAGTGCCACAGTGGGGCGGCTGCTGCTGTAAAGTGCGATACTGCTGTCGAGTTCTTTGGCAAGGCACCTCACCCACATTAGAAGGAGTCTGGTATGTGTGAATGATTGGTGGTGGTGGGAGGGGCCGATGGTACATACTAGTTGCCTTGCTTTTGCCAATATGCCCCAGGGCAGCTGTGGCTACTGCAGTAATTTATCACCAATGTGTTTGGAGTGAGTGAAGCTTCTTTGAGCATACAGAAAAGCACTATATAAAACCGAGGCATTATTATTATTATTAAAATAACTCCTTTAGGAAGGAATTCAAAAATGTTTGCGTTGTGAGATACAGCCCTGAGAATTAATGATTTAGCCTGAAATCTGAGGCATGTGAAAACTAGTGATAGAAACAGAATGAGGTACTCAAGGTTGGCTGCCATTTGTATGAGTTAAATGTTGATCAAGTTTTATCCGAAAATTAGGAAGTAAACTAATTGATCATTTGTTTATACGTTGTTTTGATCTTCTACCATCTGAATGTAAGCTAGCGATGTTACCTTGACGTGTTATGACCGCATACTTCTTTCAAGAGTGAGAGACCAGAAAAAGAGACTAAAAAGAGTCCAGAGAGAGTCTTTCTAGAGTGAGGGACCAGAGAGAGAAACCAGAAAAAGAGACTAAAGAGAGTCCAGGGAGAGAGACCAGAGAGAGAGGGACCAGCCTGGTTTTCTTTCCCCTGATGCAACACGTGCAGTCATCTCGGAACAACAGCGGCCTCCATCTTTGAACGTTGTACCTTGGCAGTGTCCGCTCAGCCCTCCGCGTGTGTGAATTATTGAGCACATACATCTGATGTGTTTACTCGGCGGTTGTTCCCATGCATTAGTAAAACCACGACACACGCACAGCTGCAAGAGATGTTCCAAGGCCAAGTTACTCACACCTACAAGGCACGAGGAGGGCTGGATGATCGTTACGGTCGAGAATAAAAGACTGTGACTGTTGCAAGTTGCATTGATGGGAGTGGGAATTATGAGAAGGTAAGGCATGTTTATTTGATAGAACATACATGGTCATACACAAGGTGACTATAGTTGTGTAAAACAAGATAGAAACAATAGTGCATGACATTAAAATCATAAATAATCACAGTACATTAAACAGTTGTTGCAGCTTTTAAACCTGGATTTGAATATTGTCAGGGAAGATGCCTGTCTCACGTTTTCAGGAAGAAAATATTTTAGCTGTATACATCTGAAAAGCTGCCTTCTCATGTTTAGTCCTGACTCTGGGACCAGCACGAGGCCAGTCCCTGTGCTCCTCAGAGTCCCAGCAGGAGGCCAGTCCCTGTGCTCCCCAGAGTCCCAGCAGGAGGCCAGTCCCTGTGCTCCCCAGAGTCCCAGCAGGAGGCCAGGCCCTGTGCTCCTCAGAGTTCATAGATTTCATGTTAGAGATTGGTAGGTATCTATATTCTCTGGTTGTTGGGCAGAATCTCTAACAATAAAAAACCGCTTAGAAAAGAACAGCAAGGATGCTTTTTGTGCGCCCGCTTTGCTGATTGTGTTGCTGTGTCTCCAATGAATACATTACACACACACACACGATTAACCGAAGAGGAAAACTGAACATCCTTGAGTCGATGCAAACCGTTCCCAGCCGCTGTGGCCGATGACGTTAGCGCAGACAAAGCAGCTCTTGAAAACCGAAAATGCTTGACGAGTAAAAACCATCGACCCGAACTTCACAAAATGCCACAGCGCACGTAACGAGGTCCTCTTATTCAAGGCCCACCCTCGAAAAGCCATTAACCCACTAAGCTTTTATTGAAAACTGCCTCATCCGCCTCCAATTAACGGCTCTATCTCTGCGTTGGTCATTAAAACGCTAGCTTGCTTTAGCCTGATTGACTTCTGCTGTCGATAGCATGATGAAAAGCTTGATTGACTTGGTCTCTCTCTCTCTCTCTCTCTGGTCTCTCTCGGGTCTCTCTCGGGTCTCTCTAAGGTCTCTTTCTCTAGTCTCTCTCTCTGGTCTCTCTCTGGTCTCTCTCTGGTCTCTCTCTGTTCTCTCTGGTCTCCCTCTGGTCTCTATGAGTCCTCTTTCTAGTCTCTTTCTAGGTTCTGGTCTCTCTCTGGTCTGTCTCTCTCTCTATAGTCTCTTTTGGATCTCTCTCTGGTCTGTCTAGTGTCTCGCTAGTCTCCCTCTCATTTCTATCTAGTCTCTTTCTGGTCCCTTTCTCTAGTCTCAGGTCTCTTCCTCGTCTCTCTCTGGTCTCTCTGTCCACTCTCTGGTCTCTCTCTGGTCTCTCTCTGGTCTTTCTCTGGTCTCTCTCTAGTCTCTCTCTCTGGTCTCTCTCTCTGGTCTCTCTCTGGTCTCTCTATGGTCTCTCTCTCTGGTCTCTGTGGCTGGGATCCACAGGGAAGTGGTGAAATAAACAAATCAATAGACTTCTTCTGTCGTTACCATGATGGGAAACCATGTGTGCATATTCCTGAGTCTTGCCTATCGATATCCGGGCTGCATTAACCCTTCAACCTCGTCCTAATGTGGTTACTTCAGAGGAGATTTTAAAGGCTAACATTTCCATCAATGCTAACGAGCCCGCATGGTGTTGCACAATGGGAGGTCTGGCATTTGAGAGAACTGGACCTGGACGAAGGAAGCGTGGGCAAGCCCTGCATGTAGTTGAGTTTTGTGACAAGCAGAACAATAAAGATATAAGTGCGTATGCGGAGCAGGCTGTGAAACTGTCAGTCCAGGGAACAGAAAATGGAGCACGAATGGTCCAGGAAGTGTATTGTTGAAGTTTCAGAAAGGTGTTGGAGCCCATTGTGAAACTGTCAGTCCAGAGAGCAGAGAAACAAAAGAGCAAAAGCATATGGCTCCGTTCAAATTCAAGAAAAATACCTACTTCTTAATGATTTCCGTTGACCGTTTCCCTTAAGCAAGACACTTCACCCACATTAGAATGAGTCTGGTGTGTGTGTGAATGGTTGGTGGAGTTCGGAGGGACTGATGGCACACACTGGTTGCCTCTCTTCTATCAGTGTGCCCCAGGGCAGCTGTGGCTACAGTAGTAGTTTATCACCACTGTGTATGTATGTGTGTTGTGTGAAGCGTCTTTGAGGGTCCAAAAAGCACTGTTTAAAACCAATCCATTATTATCATTATTTTATTTACTTTAACAGAGTCTGGTTTGAAAAATACCAACTTAAACATAATCTTGAGCCAAATACATTCCACTCACTCTCAATAAATAAAAAAGTGATGAAAAATAAGTCCCAAATTGCTCAAATTTGGCTAAATGTATTTTAATTTCAGCACATTCTGACCAAGATTTGCTAATGGGACAAAGCAAAATTACCTTGTTTAAAAAAGAAAATACAAGAAATGTCTATCTTGGAACGAGAAAATAAAGCAAGCAAGTTCTTGACATAAGACTTCTTGACATAAGACTAAATGGCTTTGTACCTCATATTTTATCACTTTTTCCAGTGTGAGTGAATTCTAAAACCTTCTCCATCAATCCTTCATTCCAGCCAGGTTACGCTCAGGGCCCCAGTCATTTGGACGGCCTCTTTGCTGATACAGAAATCAAATTAAGCTAAATGAAAATGAGCCTCTAACGGGGGCCTAATGAATGGAGAATCGCTGCAGCCGCTCGTGGCTGCGGGCGAACGCAAAGTCGTGAAGCAAAAGGAAATGGTTTTCACATCCTAAAATCACAGATTAGGTTTGAAAATGCTCCAATTACACGC